GCCCAGGTGGGGCACGTTGTTGACGTAGGGCAGGGCGCTGGTGATCAGCACGTTCCTCATGCCCTCCACCGGCAACCTGTGCCACACAGAGCCTTCAGACCAAACTACTGTTGTACGAGGGGGAGAAGCTGCCCGGCCAGTCTCATCTCTGAGCCGTGAGTGGGCAGGGGAAAGGCTGCCGTGCGGTCTGTCTATCTGTCTGTCTATCCAGACTTCAGCAAGGCCTCTGACGCCGCCTCCTGCAGCAGCAGCAGCCCGTGGTGAGGACAGGCGCGCTCCTGGCCGGTAAGGACCTGGCTGCAGGAATGGCACCCAGACACCCAGTGGCACCCAGTGGCACCCAGACAGTGGTGGTGAATGGAGCCAAACCCAGCTGGCCACCAGTGGTTCCCCAGGGGTCGGCGCTGGGGCTTCCTCTGCAAGGTCTTTTTGATGACCTGCACGAGGGCACTGAGCGCGCCCTCAGCAAGTGTGCAGGCGACACCAAGTTGGCTGGAAGTGTGGATCTGCCTGGGGGTAGCGAGGCCCTGCAGAGGGATCTGGACAGGCTGGATGGCTGGGCTGAAGCCAGTGGGATGAGTTACAACAGGGCCAAGTGTCCCGTCCTGCATTTTGGGCACAACAGCCCCACGCAGCGCTGCAGGCTTGGGGTGAGCGGCTGGACGACTGAAGAGGAAGGGAGCTGGGATGCTGGATGGTGCTCAGCTGAACAGGAGCCAGCGGTGAGCAGGGGGCCAAGAGGGCCAACAGCATCCTGGCCTGCGTTAGAAACAGTTGGGCAGCAGGAGCAGGGAGGGAATCGTCCCCTGCGCTCAGCTCTGGTGAGGCCGCACCTCGAGTGCTGTGCCCAGTTTTGGGCCCCTCACTACAGGAAAGACATCGAGGCCCTGCAGCGAGTTCCAAGAGGGGCAACAAAGCTGGTGAGGGGTCTGGAGCACAAGGCTGATGAGGGGCGGCTGAAGGAGCCGGGCTGTTCAGTCTGGAGGAGGCTCAGGAGAGCCTGAAGGGAGGCTGCAGTGAGCTGGGGGTCGGCCTCTCCTCTCGTGTAAGAGGACGAGAGGGAATGGCTTCAAGCTGCGCCAGGGGGGATTGAGGCTGGACATCAGGAAACAGCACTTTTCTGGAGCAGCGGCCAGGGAGGTGCTGGAGTCACCGACCCCAGAGGTGTTCAGGGAACGGCTGGGCTTTGTGTTGAGGGACGTGGTTTAGGGAGAGCTACTGGTTACAGGTGGCTGGTTGGACTGGGTGATCTCCAAAGTCTTTTCTAACCTCGGTGATTCGGTGATTCTGCGCGTCCCCCCCCCACAGCCGCACTCACACGGGCTTTGGAGGCCTCCAGGGTTTGGGCAGCGCAGCAGCACCGCGATTCCAGGCGTCCACAGCCGCTGCCACGTCCTCCTCCGTCAGCGCCTGCTCCGACGCGTCGTCCTGCAGGGGGGACGGCTGAGCACTGGAGGGGGGCGGGGGGCGCACGGTGCTCCCACCCCAGGCCCGCACCTCGCAGCCTGCGGCCGTGTCCGGCGGTGGGTGCAGCGGGGGCAGCTTCTGCAGGCAGGCCACAAATTGCTGCAGGCGCTGTGGCAGCAGCACGGTGTCGGCAGCGCTCCTGCACGCCTCTGAGAGCGTCATGCTCCGGAACCAGCTCTGCAGCGGCTCGGCTGTCAGGGAAAGGGGGGACACGAAGCAGCACGATGGCAACCCAGAGACACCCGGTTCACGTCCTCCCCCATAAAATCCTGCAGAAGGGAGAAAGCGGGACCCGCGATCCCGCAGCCCCGCGGCTCCCAGCCCAGCAGCCCTCCGGGAGGCCGGGGAGCGCAGAGGAGCGGCCTCACCCAGCTCTTACCCACGGGCACGGCTTCATCTCGGAGCACAGGGAACAGCGTGCCCCACACCACCACGTCCGCCACCGACTCGGTGTCCTGCAGCATAAAGGAGCGGAGCTGTGCCCCGAGGCGGCCCCGGCCCCACGCCGCACCCCCCACAAACGCACGGGAACGGCCCCCTCACCCCGGCCAGGTACGCCGTGCCTCTCCTGGCCAAGCTCCTCTCGATGTGGCCCAGCGCTCCTCCCAGCGTCGCCGCCGCCTCCGCGCCCGTCCTGCCGTGCACCAGGCGGGCGTACAGGGCCGCCAGAGCGGCGGGCTGCGGGCAGACGGGGGGTCACGGCCGGCTCGCACAGCGGCCACCGCCCCGCCCGCCGCCCGGCCCCCACCTGCAGCTCGGTGGCCTCCCACTCCAGCCATTGCGCGGTCAGGTCGGTGGGCTGCTCGCCGCGCCGCAGGAAGAAATACCTGCGGGACAGAGGGAAGGAGACGGGGAGCGGCGGGGGGCGGGGGGCGGACGGAAGGACGGAAGGACGGACGGCCCCGCACTCACTGACAGATGGCGTTGGGGGAGAAGAGCACCGCGCCGCTCTCCAGCCGCAGGGCGGGGGCCCACGGGGGGCGCAGCGGGGACGGCGGCGGCTCTGCGGGACGGGGAGCTCGTCAGGGGAGGGCGACCGCGGAGGCCCCCGCCCCCCAACGCGGCCCCGGCGGAAGGCCTCACCTCCGGGCTCGGCCCAGCAGAGCTCTACCGGAGCGGCGGCGCATCGAGCGGCCGCCACCACCTTCAGCGCCGCCGGGCTGCCGGGCGCCACCCGCAGCTGCATGGCCACGAGATGATGAAACCGGAAGCGCACAGCTGGGGCGGCACGCGAGTTCTCGCGGGACGAGCCGTCGTAAGGCGCTCACCTGGCGGAGCTCTCGCGAGATGAGTTCTTGGCACCACTCACTTCCGGCGTTTCCATGGTTACTCACGCGCGGTGTGACGTCATAGGAATGCGCCGCGCTCTGCGGCCGTCCGCGGCGGGGGTGGGGGGGTACTGGGGAGTATGGGGGTGGAACGGGGGGGGGGGAGGGAGACCCCGCGGGTGGGGGCGATGGGGGCCTCGGGGCGGGGAGCTTCTACGCACCCACCCCACGGTTCAGGAGCTTTCAGGACCTTCCGTTCCCAGAGAAAGGGGGAGGGAGCGGGAAAAGGGAAGAAGAACGAGAAAAAAAGAGTGAGAATGGGTGAGGAAAGGGAAGAAAAGAAAATGCATCGCAGAATCACAGCATCGCAGAACTGTAGGGGTTGGAAGGGAGCTGCAGAGCTCATGGAGTCCAACCCCCTGCCAAAGCCGTTCCTACAGCAGGGCGCACAGCTCAGCATCCAGGCAGGTCTGGAACATCTGCAGAGCAGGAGACCCCAAACCTCCATGGGCAGCCTGTGCCAGTGAACGGTGGGACCCATAGAGACACATTGGGACCCATAGAGACATGTTGAGACCCATAGAGACACGTTGGGACCCATAGAGACACATTGGGATCCATAGAGACACGTTGGGACCCATAGAGACAGGTTGAGACCCATAGAGACACATTGGGACCCATAGAGACCCATTGGGACCCATAGAGACACGTTGGGACCCATAGAGACACGTTGGGACCCATAGAGACACATTGGGACCCATAGAGACACATTGGGACCCACAGACTCCCCCCCTCCCTGTTCCATCGCTCCTCCCCTCACTGCACAGCCATTCCTTCGCACATTGCTGCACAACTTCCTGTGCTCCATTTCCGGCCGTTTCCCTTCCTCCTGTCTCCACTCCTCACTGAACAGAGTCCATCCTCGCCATGCTGACCCCCACACCTCAGATATTTACAGACCTGGATCAGGTCCCCTCTCAGTCTTCCTTTCTCCATGCTGAACAGCCCCAGTTCACTCAGCCTTTCCCCATAGCAGAGATGCTCCAGGCCGCTCTCCATCTCTGTGCCCCTCCGCTGGACTCTTCCCAAGAGCTCCCTGTCTGTTTGGTGCTGGGCAGCCCAGAACTGGACGCAGTGCTGCAGGTGAGGCCTCAGCAGGGCAGAGCAGAGGGGGAGCATCGCCTCCCTCCACCTGCTGGCCACGCTCTGTGCAATGCAGCCCAGGACGCCGTTGGCCTTTTGGCCACGAGGGCACTGCTGGCTCATGGCGACCTGCCGTCCACCAGGACACCCAGGTCCCTCTGCGCACAGCTCCCCTCCGGCAGCTCATCCCCAACCTGTACTGGTGAATAGGTGCAGCAAACTGCCTTCCCTGTGCTCCTCTGCCTGACTCACGGCTCGCCTCAGGTGATCACTCAGAGGTTCAGGCCGTGACTTAGCAGATCCCATACGCACACCTCAACATTTCCTGAATGCCTCCAGGGAATCTGACTGCAGTCCCTCCCTGGGCAGCCTGTCCAGGGCCCAGCCGCTCTTTTGGAGGAGTTTTTCCTAACGTCCAACCTGAAAGAACTCTTGTTGCTCTCAAGGTTCTTTCGTTTCTTCACAAAGCTGCTTCATCTTCATCTGGCAGGGAGCACGTGAAGGAGCGACGAGATGTGGTTTAGTAGCTTGTGGTACCGATGGGAATGGGAGGGAGGCTGGACTGGATGATCTTGCAGGTCGTTTCCAACCTTGTGATTCTGTGTGATTCTGCGTGAACCCAACGAGATCCAGCCAGGTCAAATGTAGGGCGTTGCACCTGGGTCGGGGCAACCCCAGATGTGTGCAGGCTGGGAGAAGAACTCATGGAGGGCGGCCCTGCTGGGAAGGATTTCAGCATCCTGGCAGATGAAAAACTTCACCTGAGCCAGCAGTGAGAGCTGGGCTCGTTCAGCCTGGAGAAGAGAATGCTCTGGGGAGACCTGATGAGGCCTTGCAGTAATTAAATGGGAACTTATAAGCAGGAGGGAAAGGTGGTGCTATAAAGACTAAAAACCATAAAGACTGGAATGTCTTGAACCTCAACAAAAGAATTTCAAAAGTCAGATGGACTCTGCTATAGAAGCTTGTTATGTGAGAGCAAATCTGAGTGCAGGAAAATCAAAACCCTTTCGTGGTGACTTTGGTAAATAATGTGCAGCAAACACAGCAGGCATAATGTGTCCTGATTAACAAACAAACAGAAAAGGACAGGAGCCTGTATTGATGTCCGTGGCAGGGATTTCTATGAAAATAAGTGATATTTAAGGTTAAAAACAGGGATTTCTATGAAAATAAGCGATATTTTAGGTTAAAAACAGGGATTTCTGTGAAAATAAGCGATATTTTAGGTTAAAAACGGGGATTTCTATGAAAATAAGCAATATTTTAGGTTAAAAACGGGGATTTCTATGAAAATAAGCGATATTTCAGGTTAAAAACAGGGATTTCTGTGGAAATAAGCGATATTTTGGGATTGAAAACAGGGATTTCTGTGAAAATAAGCGATATTTCAGGTTAAAAACAGGGATTTCTGTGGAAATAAGCGATATTTAAGGTTAAAAACAGGGATTTCTATGAAAATAAGCGATATTTAATGTTAAAAACAGGGATTTCTGTGAAAATAAGCGATATTTTAGGGGAAAAACAGGGATTTCTATGAAAATAAGCGATATTTTAGGGGAAAAACAGGGATTTCTGTGAAAATAAGTGATATTTTAGGTTAAAAACAGGGATTTCTATGAAAATAAGCGATATTTTAGGGGAAAAACAGGGATTTCTAGGAAAATAAGCAATATGTTACGTGAGAGCAAATCTGACTGCAGGAAAATCAAAACACTTTCGTGGTGACTTTGGTAAATAACGTGCAGCAAACACAACAGGCATAATGTGTCCTGATTAACAAACAAACAGAAAAGGACAGGAGCCTGTATTGATGTCCGTGGCAGCAGAGGATCTTCCAGAAGAAGGAGGCAGCAGAACCTTACGCTCACACTGCAGTGCAGGAGCAGAAAACTACCGCGAAGCTCTGGGTTCCTCTTGGGAAGGCAAAACTGCACAGAGATGCTCCAGCTGGGTTTGGCAGTGCCCTCCCACCCTCAGATTTCCTGCACACAGCTTCACGCCGCTCCCCTTCACCCTGTCCTACCTCAGAGACCCAAGGAGCACTGATTTGGTACAAAGCACAGCAGCGTGGCGTTAAAATGCAAGTTGTGTTTTCATTGTCAGGGGTATTACAGCCCAGAGCTTGGAGCACTGCCTCCAAAAACCGTGCCAGGATGGCGGCTTGGTGCTCCGAAGCTGCAGAGGTTCTACTCTGGACCCGTAGTGGTGCAGCAGCTCATGGAATGCCGCGGGACAAATCAGGCTGTGCTCTTTGTCGATCTCTAATTTTTATTGACTACAACCAAACTCGTGGTGCCGAGTTGGCGGCACTCGGAACGCTGCCCTGTAACGCCGCGCTGCAGCGCTGCCTGCTGATGCTCGTCCTCTCAGTCGTTCAGCTGCAGCTTCTGCATCATCTCCACCAGGCTGTTCATGGCGGAGCGCTGGAAGGAAACGAGGCAAGTTAGAGGTAGGACAGGAGCAATCTGGGGAGATCTCCCTAAGCAGGGCTGATCAGGTCACTTCCAGAACGGCCCCATGCAGCACAGCACGTTCCTGCCGTTCAGGTCACTTCCCACAGCAGCTGCCTATGCTAAGATTCATGCTCTGCTGGGGGAATGAGGTTTCCAAGGTCGCAGTGCCCGACATGGCAAGGCTCTTTATGGCAGCAAAACCCTCCGGCCGTTACCAACATGCCCTTCTCAAGCCGGAGGAAGGCATCCAAGCTCCCCTGGGCAGCTCTCACTGACGGCTGATTTCCTCGAACGCACAGCTGGGTGCTTTTCTGTTACACTGCTTGCCCTGGGCTTCTGCAATATCTGCCATGTCTGACAGACGGAGGCGCTGAGCACAGCGAGAGCCGTGTCTGCGCTCACCAAGGACTCACCTCTGCTCGTGCAGCAGCAGCTCTCAGAGCAGCCTTCTTCTGTTCCACTCTTTTCTCTCTTTGTTGTCTTCTTGCTGTAAAGCAAGAATAAAACTGAATTCATTTTGTCTGCAGCAAAACTGCAGAAACACGGGTACCATAAAAACAGATGTCAGAAAAAAGACAAAGGAAATTGGAAGCCTCTCAGTGAATGACACTTCCAGTGGAAAGGTGCAGAAGACCACCATGGAGGGAACGGAAAGAGACGGGGTTACACGGCACCTCACTGCCTTGGGCCTTCGTAGGCTTCGACTCTTTTCCCCTCTGCAGAGAAGGAAAAAGCAAAGCAAACCCTCCGCAACTTCAGTGTTTGGTAAGGGCAGCACTGCCCTGCAGGGTGGTACCACAGCACCTGCTTACCTCTCAGCTTGGAGCTCCGTGCTGCAGCAGGCCCAGGCTGTGCTGCTGGAGCCGGCACGCTGCCTCCGCTCTGAGCCCTCGCTCTTTTGTTAGCAGGCAGCTGCGCTGCTGTTTGCTGCTCTGCTTCCAAGCCCTTGCGTTTGCCTCCAGCCAGGGACTGGGAGACAGAGCGGGGGCACACGGCAGGGGAAGGTCTTCTCCCTGAGCTGGGACCTGCTGCTGTGGGAAGCCCTCCAGCCTGGAGACGAGCTCTCTCAGAAAGGACCTCCTGCACTGCTTTCACGTAGATCTTGGCACTGGGCTCAGCACCTCTCTCTGGCAAGAAAAGAGAAGCAAGAAGATATGAGAGTGTGATACTGCTTTCAGTCTGCAAAATGGGCCACAGTGCTGGGACATCTCATCTGGAGTGGTCACGGATCTTAGGATCGCGGGTGAAGCGTGGGTTTGTGTTTCAAATCAGCACAGGAAAGGGAACTGTAAATCCCAGGGATTGAGACCCCAGGCAACACGCAGTGAGAACAGTCCCAGGAAGAACAGACAGGAAGCCGAGTTGGAAAGTCCGTGCACCAAACCCAGGCGCCTGCTGTGTCGCTGTACCTCTCTTGGGTGCCACGTCATGGTCTGTAGCTCCCCTCTGCCTTTCCGCAAGGCTGCGCTTCACAGGAAGGCCACCGGCATCAGATTCTGACAGAAAGGAAACAAGAAAGGCGTGAAGAGCAGCTCTTTGGAGGAAGACTTCAGCACAGTCAGACACAGAGTTCTGGTATGAAGCACAGTTGCTTCCAGTCGCCTTTCTGCTGATCCAACACTGTGCCACTTCTGCAGGCAGCACAGATGTGCAGCGTTCTTTCTTCCCTCCTCCATCACACACAGCCCTGCATGCAGCCCTATTCACAGGCAGCACCCACAGCACAGCTCACAGGAGCTTCTTACCAGAGGAGGCTTTCCGTTTCCCCCCTTGCCCAGCACCGTTCCATGGACGCGCAGGCTCCGCCCCTACAACAAAATACAATTTGCTGGTTTAACAGAAACCAGCGGCCTGTAGAAGTGTTGTCCTGTCAGCCCAAATCCACCCCAAAACAACAAAACCCCAAAGTCTCATTCTTCCTCAGATGGCAGCAGAACCCCGGTCTGCCCGACGGCTCTACGTTCAGCAGAGCAGAGGTGCATCACCAAACAGAACGCTATGAGGTACAGAAGTTGAGACACATTTTTTGGCTCTGAAAGGAATTCAGCCGACTCTAATTTGCATAATTTGCATAACTCTGCATTTATGTGCAGACTTCTGTCGCGCTGCTGCCATCAGCTGCCGCTGCCGGGCTCTCCAACGCTTCTACAGTGCCTTACTGGACATCCCCTGCAGCACTGCACTCAGAAGTAACACTCAACATTCATTCCTCCATCCTTCATGACAGAGGACTGCAGAAACTCACTTTTGCGTGGCAGTGAGGACGGCCCGTCCCCATCGCGTCCCTCTGTGCGCTGCCAGGCGCTGCTGGATCTCTGGCAGCCTGCTGGCTGCTGCTCCCAAACGGGGGGAACCGCGCCGCGCTGCTTCTGAGGAGAGAAAGGAAGAAACGTCGGTGGGGACGGGCAGCCAAGGTTTGCAGAGAGGCTCCTGATCGTGCCAGAGGTGGGGTATCAGTGCTGAGAGATCAGTTAGCACTAGGGGAAAACACAGCCTGAGCCACGTCCACGTCATCGGCCCGGGCTGACAGCAGTGAGCGCAAAACCCAGCTGGTTTTTGAGGTCACAAAGGACCGGTAGGGCTCCTCCTGCTGCACCCCTTCCCTTAAACATGAGAAAAAGGAAGAAACAGCACGCAAAAGAAAGCCAGGCATACCTTTCCTCTCACAGAGGAGGAATTGGAACCACGGTCATCTCCTTGCTGAGACATGATGGCTGAAGTGTCAGAGGAAGCCCAAGGTGTGAGGGTTCTCTCCACACCTCCCTCGCTCCTGGAAGGAGCTGGCTTCACTCGTTCTTCAGCTGCCTCGATCCCCGAGTTCTCCTTTTGGACAGGAACCCTACAGAAAGCACCAACAAGTGAAAAATCACGAGGAAGAAGCATTTTCCCAGCTTTCTTCTGCCATGCAATGGCATCTCCTGAGGAAGGCAGTGCTTGGAAATCAGCTGGCTGCAACAACCGCCTGCCCATCCCTAGCTGCAGCTGGAGCCTGACTGCCATGGCTTCTGTCACCAAGTGCCCCCAGGTCCCCCCCCAGGTCCCCCCCCAGGTCCCCTTTTCCCCCACCAATTGCCCGGCAGCAGTTTTCCAGGGGAGGAATGCCTTTTCATCATCCTCATTGAAACGTGGGACGGAATCTGAACAAGAACCCATTTTCCCTGGAAACAGCCGTTATTCAGAAGGGCACCGTTTGACCTGGCAACTCCTCCCCAGCCCAGCTTTTCAGCTGAGACCCCTCCCGACGACCAGCCAGCACCAACCCAGCTCACCTGGTCACTGCCCAGCCGGAGCGGTGCCCAGCTGACGCACAACGCCGCAGCGCTGCTCCCAGTGGGCTCTAAAGGAAGATCTCTCAATAAAAGCACAGAGCTCAATCTCGGTGTGCACCACGCTCACCAGAGCACCAGCTCTGCTCCCAGCTGGGGCACAAACGCTCCCAGCCCGGCAACCACTGTGACCTCAGCGAGTGCCTGCATCACCGCCGTGCTTTCATCATAAGCAAAGGAGTGGCCACCTCCCAGATCCACATTTGAGGAGACCAACACCGGGGTCACCCATGGGGTGAATTTAAGTGAAGTCATAGAATCATAGAATCGTAGAATCACCAAGGTTGGAAAAGACCTCCAAGCCCATCCAGTCCAACCGTTCCCCCATTCCCAACAGCTCCCACTGAACCACGTCTCTCAACACAGCATCCAGCCTTTCCTTGAACACCCCCAGGCTCGGTGACTCCACCACCTCCCTGGGCATCCATTGCAGTGCCTGACCGCCCTTTCTGAAAAGAAATACTTCCTAAAAGTAACTTAAAAGAGGTCAAATGACTTTAGTGCAGCCCAATAAAAACCGGGAAGGCCTCAGAGTGGTCAATGGTCCCATAGGAACCAGTAGAAAACAAAACCCAGTGCCAGCATCTCGGTCCCAGGGCAGTGCTGGCCTCCCCGGCGCTGTCTGGAGCTTTAGGCCCCTGGGCCGGTGCCGGCCTCTGCAGCTGGGCTGTGGCTTGAAGCCCCTGGGCTGGATCTCACATTTCGGGCTGTTCTTTTTGGCCCTTGGGCTGGCGCCAGCCTCTCTAACTGGGGCTGTGGCTGTGAGCCTCTGGGCTGGATGCAGCTTTTGGGGCTCTGGCCCAAAGCCACCAGGGCTGGTACCAGATTTTAAGAAAACAGCAGGACAGCCACCCAATGGGGTTATCTGAGGTAACAGAACAGAGAAATTAAGATGACTCTTGTGTAACCAGCCTGGGTCATCCTCTCGCTCAGGCACTGCATGATCAGACCCAGGAGATGCTGCCTCCAGATTGGAGGGCAGAAGGATTTTGGGCTTCCAAGCAATCAGCCAGCATTCGGATGAGTCAGCCCCCTGGTTTTTGTGAGGACAGACAAAGTGCATCTTGAAAAGCCATCTGGGCAAAGGCAGAACAGCTTTGTTCTTGGGCCGCAGCACTCCGTGGCCAGGCGCTGCCCAAACGCTGGGCCTGCATTTCCTCCTGGGCATCCACGCGTGCTCCGAGTCTGCTGCAGCTTTCTGCAGGGTCTGTGCCTTCCTGCTGAGGAGCTCCTCGTGTTCTTCTGCAGCTGCCCCCCAGCATCACTGCTGCCTCCTCTGGTGCCGTGCTGGGAGATGCAGCAGCGTCCATCAGCCTGCACTTCCTTCCTCCCAGCAGCAGCTGCTCCTGCACTGACCTCCATTCACACTGGATGCCGTCCACTTCCAGCGCCAGCTGACCTGCGAGACAGAGAAAGGAAATGTGGCATCGGCACAAATGCAGAAGCCCGAGGCTGTGCCACCACCACGTACTGCAGCCTTGGGAAGCCAGCTGCCACTGCAACCTTGGTCAGAAGTAAAGCAGGCGCCGTAAATTAAGAGTGACTTCTGAACTGAAGGAATTGCCACAGTCAGAAATAAATACTGAAATCGCTTACTGAACTGTAGGTGGTTACCTCTGGATTCTTTTGCTTTGGGGGAAATATGGACTTGGAATGGAAGGGTGCAAGAAAAACGAGGAGCACTTGGCAACTCAGGCAAACTGAGCAGTGCAGGGAAGATTGCTGCATTTCTTCTTCTCCTGGACCAGAAATGAATTTCCCTACCTGAAAATGAAAAGGGAAAAAGAGCCCGATGCAGAGTAGACACAACACAGTCTCACATCACAGAAAAGAATACGGAGGGCTCTTGTGGCACAAAGCTCAGGGCTGTAGAAATTAAGGGTGCCTCTGAACTTCAGAAGAAGACAGAAGACAAGGTGAAATGCAGAACAGCAGCACTTCCTGCAGAGCACATCACACAGCTGTAGGCACGGCCTGAGAGCTGACAGTCAGGTGAGAAAGGACAGCCTGACTGTGTGAACGCAGGGACAAGCTGCTCTCTTCTTCTGGGCCTTTGTTCAGTGAGGATTTCCCCCAAGAGCGCTGCTTTCTGCTCAGGCTGCTGCTGTCTCCAGCTGTTGGTCGCTTCCACTGCTGGACGCTGTGGAGATGAGGGGGTTTGGGGGGATGGGGGGGGACTTGGGGGTCAGATGAGGGGGTTTGGGGGGTTGGGGGGGGGGCTGAGGGGGGTTTGGGAGGGATTGCGGGGGAGGCTTGGGGGGGGATTTGGGGTCTTTGGGGGGTTCAAATTTGGGGTCTATGGGGGGGGTTGGGGGGGCCTTTTGGGGCCTTTGGGGGGCTTGGGGGGGATTTGGGGTCTTTGGAGGGGATTGAGGGGGGGTTTGGGGGGCCTTTGGGTGGCAGATGAGGGGGTTTGGGGGGCATTTGGGGGGGGATTTGGGAGGTTTGGGGGGGGTTTTGGGGTCATCCTGCTTTGGGCAAAGCCTGCTGGGTGAACTGCAAACCCAGGTCACAGCCACGAGAATCCAGCTGGTTGCTCTGAAAGGGCTCAGGGGCCACGCGTGGGATCCTTCCTGCTGCTGGTTCTCTCCGGGCAAGAAGCTCCACTCTCAGAGCAGCAGCCAAGAGCTGCAAGGCAGAGGAAGCTTCCAATCCCCGTGGATGTGGCTGTCTGTTAGGACAACAGCTGCCTGCTCTTCAGCAGGGTGATGTAGGTAACAAAACACGCAAGTCAGAGACGTAGTCAAGGAAATACGTAAAGCGGGGGCTGTCGAGGTCACCAGGCGTAACCAGGCGGAATCGGCGTGGGCCCCTCGCGTGGTCAGCAGTACTGTGACAGCCATCAGCCTCTGCGGGGGCTCCTGGACTCATGAGAAGCCATGATGAGGCACGGCAGGACGAGGCACGGCACACGGCTATGGGGCACAGAGAACCGCAGCAAGGCTGGTTGGGAGCACTGTGATATAAGGGACAACTCTAAGAAGAGGGAGCTGCTGGCAATAAGGGCCATTTGCCGCTCACCACGTTGGTGTGATAAAAGCGAGTGATTTGGATGGGGCTGTGAGAGCACTTCATGACGGGACATTGATCAGAGCTTGCCGAAGTAAAGGCAACAAATTTCTATGAAAATAAGCGATATTTAAGGTTAAAAACAGGGATTTCTATGAAAATAAGCGATATTTAAGGTTAAAAACCGGGATTTCTATGAAAATAAGCGATATTTCGGGGAAAAACAGGGATTTCTATGAAAATAAGCGATATTTTAGGTTAAAAACAGGGATTTCTATGAAAATAAGGGATATTTCAGGTTAAAAACAGGGATTTCTATGAAAATGAGTGATATTTTAGGGGAAAAACAGGGATTTCTATGAAAATAAGTGATATTTTAGGGGATGAACAGGGATTTCTGTGAAAATAAGCGATATTTAAGGTTAAAAACAGGGATTTCTGTGAAAATAAGCGATATTTTAGTGGAAAAACAGGGATTTCTGTGAAAATAAGCGATATTTAAGGTTAAAAACAGGGATTTCTATGAAAATAAGCGATATTTAAGGGGAAAAACAGGGATTTCTGTGAAAATAAGCGATATTTAATGGGAAAAACAGGGATTTCTGTGAAAATAAGCGATATTTAAGGGGAAAAACAGGGATTTCTGTGAAAATAAGCGATATTTTAGGGGAAAAGCAGGGATTTCTATGAAAATAAGCGATATTTTAGGGGAAAAACAGGGATTTCTGTGAAAATAAGCGATATTTTAGGGGAAAAACAGGGATTTCTGTGAAAATAAGCGATATTTTATGGGAAAAACAGGGATTTCTGAGAAAATAAGCGAAATTTTGGGGGAAAAACAGGGATTTCTGTGAAAATAAGCGATATTTTAGGGGAAAAACAGGGATTTCTATGAAAATAAGCGGTATTTTTTGGGAAAAACAGGGATTTCTGTGAAAATAAGCGATATTTAAGGGGAAAAACAGGGATTTCTGTGAAAATAAGCGATATTTAATGGGAAAAACAGGGATTTCTATGAAAATAAGCGATATTTTAGGGGAAAAACAGGGATTTCTATGAAAATAAGCGATATTTAAAGTGGAATAACACGGATTTCTATGAAAATAAGCGATATTTAAAGAAAAAAACAGGGACTTCTATGAAAATAAGCAATATTTTGGGGGAAAAACAGGGATTTCTATGAAAATAAGCGATATTTTAGGGGAAAAACCGGGATTTCTATGAAAATAAGCGATATTTTAGGGGAAAAACAGGGATTTCTATGAAAATAAGCGATATTTTAGGGGAAAAATAGGGATTTCTGTGAAAATAAGCGATATTTTATGGGAAAAACAGGGATTTCTGTGAAAATAAGCGATATTTTAGGGGAAAAACAGGGATTTCTATGAAAATAAGCAATATTTTTGGGGGAAAACAGGGATTTCTGGGAAAATAAGCGATATTTTAGGGGAGAAACAGGGATTTCTGAGAAAATAAGCGATATTTTAGGGGAAAAACAGGGATTTCTGTGAAAATAAGCGATATTTTAGGGGATAAACAGGGATTTCTATGAAAATAAGCGATATTTAAAGTGGAAAACCACGGATTTCTATGAAAATAAGCGATATTTAAGGGTTAAAAACAGGGATTTCTATGAAAATAAGCGATATTTAAAGAAAAAAACAGGGACTTCTATGAAAATAAGCAATATTTTAGGGGAAAAACAGGGATTTCTAGAAAAATAAGCGATATTTTAGGGGAAAAACTGGGATTTCTATGAAAATAAGCGATATTTTAGGGGAAAAACAGGGATTTCTGTGAAAATAAGAGATATTTAAGGGGAAAAACAGGGATTTCTGTGAAAATAAGCGATATTTTAGGGGAAAAACAGGGATTTCTAGAAAAATAAGCGATATTTTAGGGGAAAAACTGGGATTTCTATGAAAATAAGCGATATTTTAGGGGAAAAACAGGGATTTCTGTGAAAATAAGAGATATTTAAGGGGAAAAACAGGGATTTCTGTGAAAATAAGCGATATTTTAGGGGAAAAACAGGGATTTCTAGAAAAATAAGCGATATTTTAGGGGAAAAACTGGGATTTCTATGAAAATAAGCGATATTTTAGGGGAAAAACAGGGATTTCTGTGAAAATAAGAGATATTTAAGGGGAAAAACAGGGATTTCTGTGAAAATAAGCGATATTTTAGGGGAAAAACAGGGATTTCTATGAAAATAAGCGATATTTTAGGGGAAAAACAGGGATTTCTGGGAAAATAAGTGATATTTTAGGGGAGAAACAGGGATTTCTATGAAAATAAGCGATATTTTAGGGGAAAAACAGGGATTTCTGTGAAAATAAGCGATATTTAAGGGGAAAAACAGGGATTTCTATGAAAATAAGCGATATTTAAGGTTTAAAAACAGGGATTTCTAGGAAAATAAGTGATACTTAAGGGGAAAAACACGGATTTCTGTGAAAATAAGCGATATTTTAGGGGAAAAACAGGGATTTCTGTGAAAATAAGCGATAATTTATGGGAAAAACAGGGATATCTATGAAAATAAGCGATATTTTGGGTTAAAAACAGGGATTTCTGTGAAAATAAGCGATATTTAAGGGGAAAAACAGGGATTTCTATGAAAATAAGCGATATTTAAGGGGAAAACCAGGGATTTCTATGAAAAGAAGCGATATTTAAGGGTTAAAAACAGGGATTTCTATGAAAATAAGCGATATTTAAGGGGAAAAACAGGGATTTCTAGTAAAATATGCGATATTTTAGGGGAAAAACAGGGATTTCTGTGAAAATAAGTGATATTTAAGGGTTAAAAACAGGGATTTCTAGGAAAATAAGCGATATTTAAGGTGAAAAACAGGGATTTCTATGAAAATAAGCGATATTTAAGGGTGAAAAAAAGGGATTTCTATGAAAATAAGTGATACTTAAGGGGAAAAACAGGGATTTCTGTGAAAATAAGCGATATTTAAGGGGAAAAACAGGGATTTCTGTGAAAATAAGCGATATTTAAGGGGAAAAACAGGGATTTGTGTGAAAATAATCGATATTTTGGGGGAAAAACAGGGATTTCTATGAAAATAAGCTATATTTTGGGGGAAAAACAGGGATTTCTGTGAAAATAAGCGATATTTTAGGTTAAAAACAGGGATTTCTAGGAAAATAAGCAATATTTTAGGGGAAAAACAGGGATTTCTGTGAAAATAAGCGATATTTAAGGGTTAAAAACAGGGATTTCTATGAAAATAAGCGATATTTTAGGGGAAAAACAGGGATTTCTGTGAAAATAAGCGATATTTAAGGGGAAAAACAGGGATTTCTATGAAAATAAGCGATATTTTAGGGGAAAAACAGGGATTTCTATGAAAATAAGCGATATTTTAGGGGAAAAACAGGGATTTCTGTGAAAATAAGCGATATTTAAGGGGAAAAACAGGGATTTCTGTGAAAATAAGTGATACTTAAGGGGAAAAACAGGGATTTCTGTGAAAATAAGCGATATTTAAGGGGAAAAACAGGGATTTCTGTGAAAATAAGCGATATTTAAGGGTTAAAAACAGGGATTTCTATGAAAATAAGCGATATTTAAAGTGGAAAAACAGGAATTTCTATGAAAATAAGCGATATTTTGGGGTTAAAACCAGGGATTTCTATGAAAATAAGCGATATTTAAGGGGATAAACAGGGATTTCTGTGAAAATAAGCGATATTTAAAGTCGAAAAACAGGGATTTCTATGAAAATAAGCGATATTTAAAGTGGAAAAACAGGGATTTCTATGAAAATAAGCGATATTTAAGGGTTAAAAACAGGGATTTCTGTGAAAATAAGCGATATTTTAGGGGAAAAACAGGGATTTGTATGAAAATAAGCGATATTTTAGGGGAATAACAGGGATTTCTGTGAAAATAAGCGATATTTAAGGGGAAAAACAGGGATTTCTGTGAAAATAAGCGATATTTCAGGTGAAAAACAGGGATTTCTGTGAAAATAAGCGATATTTCAGGGGAAAAACAGGGATTTCTATGAAAATAAGCGATATTTAAGGGGAAAAAGGGATTTCTATGAAAATAAGCGATATTTAAGGGTTAAAAACAGGGATTTCTATGAAAATAAGCGATATTTAAGGGTTAAAAACAGGGATTTCTATGAAAATAAGCGATATTTAAAGAAAAAAACAGGGATTTCTATGAAAATAAGCAATATTTTAGGGGAAAAACAGGGATTTCTGTGAAAATAAGCGATATTTTTTGAGAAAAAGAGGGATTTCTATGAAAATAAGCGATATTTTGGGGGAAAAACAGGGATTTCAGTGAAAATAAGCGATATTTTAGGGGAAAAACAGGGATTTCTGTGAAAATAAGCAATATTTTAGGGGAAAAACAGGGATTTCTATGAATATATGCGATATTTAATGGGATAAACAGGGATTTCTGTGAAAATAAGCGATATTTTAGGGGAAAAACAGGGATTTCTATGAAAATAAGCGATATTTAAGGGTTAAAAACAGGGATTTCTATGAAAATAAGCGATATTTAAGGGTTAAAAACAGGGATTTCTATGAAAATAAGCGATATTTAATGGTTAAAAACAGGGATTTCTATGAAAATAAGCAATATTTTAGGGGAAAAACAGGGATTTCTGTGAAAATAAGCGATATTTTTTGAGAAAAACAGGGATTTCTATGAAAATAAGCGATATTTTGGGGGAAAAACAGGGATTTCAGTGAAAATAAGCGATATTTCAGGGGAAAAACAGGGATTTCTGTGAAAATAAGCGATATTTAAGGGGAAAAACAGGAATTTCTGTGAAAATAAGCGATATTTTAGGGGAAAAACAGGGATTTGTATGAAAATAAGCGATATTTTAGGGGAATAACAGGGATTTCTGTGAAAATAAGCGATATTTTAGGGGAAAAACAGGGATTTGTATGAAAATAAGCGATATTTTAGGGGAATAACAGGGATTTCTGTGAAAATAAGCGATATTTTAGGGGAAAAACAGGGATTTCTGTGAAAATAAGCGATATTTCAGGGGAAAAACAGGGATTTCTGTGAAAATAAGCGATATTTCAGGGGAAAAACAGGGATTTCTATGAAAATAAGCGATATTTAAGGGGAAAAAGGGATTTCTATGAAAATAAGCGATATTTAAGGGGAAAAACAGGGATTTCTATGAAAATAAGCGATATTTTAGGGGAAAAACAGGGATTTCTGTGAAAATAAGCGATATTTAAGGCGAAAAACAGGGATTTCTGTGAAAATAAGCGATATTTTAGGGGAAAAACAGGGATTTCTATGAAAATATGCGATATTTTAGGGGAAAAACAGGGATTTCTGTGAAAATAAGCGATATTTAAGGGTTAAAAACAGGGATTTCTATGAAAATTGGCAATATTTTGGGGGAAAAACAGGGATTTCTGTGAAAATAAGCGATATTTTAGGGGAAAAACAGGGATTTCTATGAAAATAAGCGATATTTAAGGGTTAAAAACAGGGATTTCTATGAAAATAAGCGATATTTTAGGAGAAAAAAACAGGGATTTCTGTGAAAATAAGCAATATTTTAGGGGAAAAACAGGGATTTCTGTGAAAATAAGCGATATTTTTTAGAGAAAAACAGGGATTTCTATGAAAATAAGCGTTATTTTGGGGGAAAAACAGGGATTTCTGTGAAAATAAGCGATATTTTGGGGGAAAAACAGGGATTTCTGTTTTAAATATCGCTTATTTTCAAAGAATAAATGAAAATAAGCGATATTTTAGGGGAAAAACAGGGATTTCTGTTAAAATAAGTGATATTTTAGGGGAAAAACAGGGATTTCTGTGAAAATAAGCGATATTTTAGAGGAAAAACAGGGTTTTCTGTGAAAATAAGGGATATTTTAGGGGAAAAACAGGGATTTCTATGAAAATAAGCGATAGTTAAGGGGAAAAAACAGGGATTTCTATGAAAATAAGCAATATTTTAGGGGAAAAACAGGGATTTCTGTGAAAATAAGCGATATTTTAGGGGAAAAACAGGGATTTCTGTGAAAATAAGCGATATGTTAGGGGAAAAACAGGGATTTCTGTGAAAATAAGAGACATTTTAGGGGAAAAACAGGGATTTCTATGAAAATAAGCGATATTTATGGTTTAAAAACAGGGATTTCTATGAAAATAAGCGATATTAAAGGGTTAAAATCAGGGATTTCTATGAAAATAAGCGATATTTAAGGGGAAAAACAGGGATTTCTGTGAAAATAAGCGATATTTAAAGGGAAAAACAGGGATTTCTGTGAAAATAAGCGATATTTTAGGGGAGAAACAGGGATTTCTGTTAAAATAAGTGATATTTTAGGGGAAAAACAGGGATTTCTGTGAAAATAAGCGATATTTAATGGGGAAAAACAGGGATTTGTGTGAAAATAAGCGATATTTTAGGGGAAAAACAGGGATTTCTATGAAAATAAGCAATATTTTGGGGGAAAAACAGGGATTTCTGTGAAAATAAGCGATATTTAAGGGTTAAAAACAGGGATTTCTAGGAAAATAAGCGATATTTTAGGGGAAAGACAGGGATTTCTATGAAAATAAGCGATATTTAAGGGGAAAAACAGGGATTTCTATGAAAATAAGCGATATTTTAGGGGAAAAACAGGGATTTCTATGAAAATAAGCGATATTTTAGGGGAAAAACAGGGATTTCTGTGAAAATAAGCGATATTTCAGGGGAAAAACAGGGATTTCTATGAAAATAAGCGATATTTAAAGTGGAAAAACAGGGATTTCTATGAAAATAAGCGATATTTTGGGGTTAAAACCAGGGATTTCTATGAAAATAAGCGATATTTAAGGTTAAAAACAGGGATTTCTGTGAAAATAAGCGATATTTAAGGGGAAAAACAGGGATTTCTGTGAAAATAAGCGATATTTAAGGGTTAAAAACAGGGATTTCTATGAAAATAAGCGATATTTTAGGGGAAAAACAGGGATTTCTATGAAAATAAGCGATATTTAAGGGTTAAAAACAGGGATTTCTGTGAAAATAAGCAATATTTTAGGGGAAAAACAGGGATTTCTATGAAAATAAGCGATATTTTAGGGGATAAACAGGGATTTCTGTGAAAATAAGCGATATTTTAGGGGATAAACAGGGATTTCTATGAAAATAAGCAATATTTTAGGGGAAAAACAGGGATTTCTGTGTAAATAAGCGATATTTTAAAGGGAACAACAGGGATTTCTGTGAAAATATGCGATATTTTAGGGGAAAAACAGGGATTTCTGTGAAAATAAGCGATATTTAAGGGGAAAAACAGGGATTTCTGTGAAAATAAGTGATATTTTATGGGAAAAACAGGGATTTCTATGAAAATAAGCGACATTTAAGGGGAAAAACAGGGATTTCTATGAAAATAAGCGATATTTTAGGGGAAAAACAGGTATTTCTATGAAAATAAGCGATATTTTAGGGGAAAAACAGGGATTTCTGTGAAAATAAGCGATATTTAAGGCGAAAAACAGGGATTTCTGTGAAAATAAGCAATATTTTAGGGGAAAAACAGGGATTTCTATGAAAATAGATATTTAAAGTGGAAAAACAGGCATTTCTATGAAAATAAGCGATATTTAAGGGGATAAACAGGGATTTCTGTGAAAATAAGCGATATTTAAAGTGGAAAAACAGGGATTTCTATGAAAATAAGCGATATTTTAGGGTTAAATACAGGGATTTCTGTGAAAATAAGAGATATTTTAGGGGAAAAACAGGGATTTCTGTGAAAATAAGCGATATGTTAGGGGAAAAACAGGGATTTCTGTGAAAATAAGCGATATTTAAGGGGAAAAACAGGGATTTCTGTGAAAATAAGTGATATTTTAGGGGAAAAACAGGGATTTCTATGAAAATAAGCGACATTTAAGGGGAAAAACAGGGATTTCTATGAAAATAAGCGATATTTTAGGGGAAAAACAGGTATTTCTATGAAAATAAGCGATATTTTAGGGGAAAAACAGGGATTTCTGTGAAAATAAGCGATATTTAAGGCGAAAAACAGGGATTTCTGTGAAAATAAGCAATATTTAAGGTTTAAAAACAGGGATTTCTATGAAAATAGATATTTAAAGTGGACAAACAGGCATTTCTATGAAAATAAGCGATATTTAAGGGGATAAACAGGGATTTCTGTGAAAATAAGCGATATTTAAAGTGGAAAAACAGGGATTTCTATGAAAATAAGCGATATTTTAGGGTTAAATACAGGGATTTCTGTGAAAATAAGAGATATTTTAGGGGAAAAACAGGGATTTCTGTGAAAATAAGCGATATGTTAGGGGAAAAACAGGGATTTCTGTGAAAATAAGCGATATTTCAGGGGAAAAACAGGGATTTCTATGAATATATGCGATATTTTAGGGGAAAAACAGTGATTTCTGTGAAAATAAGCGATATTTTATGTTAAAAACAGGGATTTCTATTAAAATTGGCAATATTTTGGGGGAAAAACAGGGATTTCTTTGAAAATAAGCGATATTTAAGGGGAAAAACAGGGATTTCTATGAAAATAAGCGATATTTAAGGGTTAAAAACAGGGATTTCTATGAAAATAAGCGATATTTAAAGAAAAAAACAGGGATTTCTGTGAAAATAAGCAATATTTTAGGGGAAAAACAGGGATTTCTGTGAAAACAAGCGATATTTTTTGAGAAAAACAGGGATTTCTATGAAAATAAGCGATATTTTGGGGGAAAAACAGGGATTTCTGTGAAAATAAGCGATATTTTAGGGGAAAAACAGGGATTTCTGTGAAAATAAGCGATATTTAAGGGGAAAAACAGGAATTTCTGTGAAAATAAGCGATATTTTAGGGGAAAAACAGGGATTTCTATGAATATATGCGATATTTAAGGGGATAAACAGGGATTTCTGTGAAAATAAGCGATATTTTAGGGGAAAAACAGGGATTTCTATGAAAATAAGCGATATTTTAGGGGAAAAACAGGGATTTCTATGAAAATAAGCGATATTTCAGGGGAAAAACAGGGATTTCTGTGAAAATAAGCGATATTTAAAGTGGAAAAACAGGGATTTCTGTGAAAATAAGCGATATTTAAGGGGAAAAACAGGGATTTCTGTGAAAATAAGCAATATTTTAGGGGAAAAACAGGGATTTCTATGAATATAAGCGATATTTAAACTGGAAAAACAGGGATTTCTATGAAAATAAGCGATATTTTAGGGGAAAAACAGGGATTTCTATGAAAATATGCGATATTTAAAGAAAAAAACAGGGATTTCTGTGAAAATAAGCGATATTTTAGGGGATAAACAGGGATTTCTGTGAAAATAAGCGATATTTTGGGGGAAAAACAGGGATTTCTGTGAAAATAAGCGATATTTAAGGGGAAAAACAGGGATTTGTATGAAAATAAGCGATATTTAAGGGTTAAAAACAGGGATTTCTATGAAAATAAGCAATATTTTAGGAGAAAAAAACAGGGATTTCTGTGAAAATAAGCGATATTTTTTAGAGAAAAACAGGGATTTCTATGAAAATAAGCGTTATTTTGGGGGAAAAACAGGGATTTCTGTGAAAATAAGCGATATTTTGGGGGAAAAACAGGGATTTCTGTGAAAATAAGCGATATTTTAGGGGAAAAACAGGGATTTCTGTGAAAATAAGCGATATTTCAGGGGAAAAACAGGGATTTCTGTGAAAATAAGCGATATTTTAGGGGAAAAACAGGGATTTCTATGAAAATAAGCGATATTGAAGGGGAAAAAGGGATTTCTATGAAAATAAGCGATATTTAAGGGTTAAAAACAGGGATTTCTATGAAAATAAGCGATATTTAAGGGTTAAAAACAGGGATTTCTATGAAAATAAGCGATATTTAAAGAAAAAAACAAGGATTTCTATGAAAATAAGCAATATTTTAGGGGAAAAACAGGGATTTCTGTGAAAATAAGCGATATTTTTTGAGAAAAAGAGGGATTTCTATGAAAATAAGCGATATTTTGGGGGAAAAACAGGGATTTCAGTGAAAATAAGCGATATTTTAGGGGAAAAACAGGGATTTCTGTGAAAATAAGCGATATTTAAGGGGAAAAACAGGAATTTCTGTGAAAATAAGCGATATTTTAGGGGAAAAACAGGGATTTCTATGAATATATGCGATATTTAAGGGGAAAAACAGGGATTTCTATGAAAATAAGCGATATTTAAGGGGAAAAACAGGGATTTCTATGAAAATAAGCGATATTTAATGGGAAAAACAGGGATTTCTATGAAAATAAGCGATATTTTAGGGGAAAAACAGGGATTTCTGTGAAAATAAGCGATATTTTAGGGGAAAAACAGGGATTTCTATGAAAATAAGCGATATTTAAGGGGATAAACAGGGATTTCTGTGAAAATAAGCGATATTTAAAGTGGAAAAACAGGGATTTCTATGAAAATAAGCGATATTTAAGGGGATAAACAGGGATTTCTGTGAAAATAAGCGATATTTAAAGTGGAAAAACAGGGATTTCTATGAAAATAAGCGATATTTTAGGGTTAAATACAGGGATTTCTGTGAAAATAAGAGATATTTTAGGGGAAAAACAGGGATTTCTGTGAAAATAAGCGATATGTTAGGGGAAAAACAGGGATTTCTGTGAAAATAAGCGATATTTAAGGGGAAAAACAGGGATTTCTGTGAAAATAAGTGATATTTTAGGGGAAAAACAGGGATTTCTATGAAAATAAGCGACATTTAAGGGGAAAAACAGGGATTTCTATGAAAATAAGCGATATTTTAGGGGAAAAACAGGTATTTCTATGAAAATAAGCGATATTTTAGGGGAAAAACAGGGATTTCTGTGAAAATAAGTGATATTTAAGGCGAAAAACAGGGATTTCTGTGAAAATAAGCAATATTTAAGGTTTAAAAACAGGGATTTCTATGAAAATAGATATTTAAAGTGGAAAAACAGGCATTTCTATGAAAATAAGCGATATTTAAGGGGATAAACAGGGATTTCTGTGAAAATAAGCGATATTTAAATTGGAAAAACAGGGATTTCTATGAAAATAAGCGATATTTTAGGGTTAAATACAGGGATTTCTGTGAAAATAAGAGATATTTTAGGGGAAAAACAGGGATTTCTGTGAAAATAAGCGATATGTTAGGGGAAAAACAGGGATTTCTGTGAAAATAAGCGATATTTAAGGGGAAAAACAGGGATTTCTATGAATATATGCGATATTTTAGGGGAAAAACAGGGATTTCTGTGAAAATAAGCGATATTTTATGTTAAAAACAGGGATTTCTATTAAAATTGGCAATATTTTGGGGGAAAAACAGGGATTTCTTTGAAAATAAGCGATATTTAAGGGGAAAAACAGGGATTTCTGTGAAAATAAGCGATATTTAAGGGTTAAAAACAGGGATTTCTATGAAAATAAGCGATATTTAAGGGTTAAAAACAGGGATTTCTATGAAAATAAGCGATATTTAAAGAAAAAAACAGGGATTTCTGTGAAAATAAGCAATATTTTAGGGGAAAAACAGGGATTTCTGTGAAAACAAGCGATATTTTTTGAGAAAAACAGGGATTTCTATGAAAATAAGCGATATTTTGGGGGAAAAACAGGGATTTCAGTGAAAATAAGCGATATTTCAGGGGAAAAACAGGGATTTCTGTGAAAATAAGCAATATTTAATGGGAAAAACAGGGATTTCTATGAAAATAAGCGATATTTAAAGTGGAAAAACAGGGATTTCTGTGAAAATAAGCAATATTTAATGGGAAAAACAGGGATTTCTATGAAAATAAGCGATATTTAATGGGAAAAACAGAGATTTCTATGAAAATAAGCGATATTTAAACTGGAAAAACAGGGATTTCTGTGAAAATAAGCGATATTTAAGGGTTAAAAATAGGGATTTCTATGAAAATAAGCGATATTTTAGGGGAGAAACAGGGATTTCTGTGAAAATAAGCGATTTTTTAGGGGAAAAACAGGGATTTCTGTGAAAATAAGCGATATTTTAGTGGAAAAACAGGGATTTCTATGAAAATAAGCGATATTTTAGGGGAAAAATAGGGATTTCTGTGAAAATAAGAGATATTTTAGGAGTAGAAACAGGGATTTCTATGAAAATAAGCGATATTTTAGGGGAAAAACAGGGATTTCTATGAAAATAAGCGATATTTAAAGGGAAAAACAGGGATTTCTATGAAAATAAGCGATATTTAAGGGGAAAAACAGGGATTTCTGTGAAAATAAGCGATATTTAAGGGTTAAAAACAGGGATTTCTATGAAAATAAGCGATATTTTAGGGGAAAAACAGGGATTTCTATGAAAATAAGCGATATTTAAGGGTTAAAAACAGGGATTTCTGTGAAAATAAGCAATATTTTAGGGGAAAAACAGGGATTTCTATGAAAATAAGCGATATTTTAGGGGATAAACAGGGATTTCTGTGAAAATAAGCGATATTTTAGGGGATAAACAGGGATTTCTATGAAAATAAGCAATATTTTAGGGGAAAAACAGGGATTTCTGTGTAAATAAGCGATATTTTAAAGGGAACAACAGGGATTTCTGTGAAAATATGCGATATTTTAGGGGAAAAACAGGGATTTCTGTGAAAATAAGCGATATTTAAGGGGAAAAACAGGGATTTCTGTGAAAATAAGTGATATTTTATGGGAAAAACAGGGATTTCTATGAAAATAAGCGACATTTAAGGGGAAAAACAGGGATTTCTATGAAAATAAGCGATATTTTAGGGGAAAAACAGGTATTTCTATGAAAATAAGCGATATTTTAGGGGAAAAACAGGGATTTCTGTGAAAATAAGCGATATTTAAGGCGAAAAACAGGGATTTCTGTGAAAATAAGCAATATTTTAGGGGAAAAACAGGGATTTCTATGAAAATAGATATTTAAAGTGGAAAAACAGGCATTTCTATGAAAATAAGCGATATTTAAGGGGATAAACAGGGATTTCTGTGAAAATAAGCGATATTTAAAGTGGAAAAACAGGGATTTCTATGAAAATAAGCGATATTTTAGGGTTAAATACAGGGATTTCTGTGAAAATAAGAGATATTTAAGGGGAAAAACAGGGATTTCTGTGAAAATAAGCGATATGTTAGGGGAAAAACAGGGATTTCTGTGAAAATAAGCGATATTTAAGGGGAAAAACAGGGATTTCTGTGAAAATAAGTGATATTTTAGGGGAAAAACAGGGATTTCTATGAAAATAAGCGACATTTAAGGGGAAAAACAGGGATTTCTATGAAAATAAGCGATATTTTAGGGGAAAAACAGGTATTTCTATGAAAATAAGCGATATTTTAGTGGAAAAACAGGGATTTCTGTGAAAATAAGCGATATTTAAGGCGAAAAACAGGGATTTCTGTGAAAATAAGCAATATTTAAGGTTTAAAAACAGGGATTTCTATGAAAATAGATATTTAAAGTGGAAAAACAGGCATTTCTGTGAAAATAAGCGATATTTAAGGGGATAAACAGGGATTTCTGTGAAAATAAGCGATATTTAAAGTGGAAAAACAGGGATTTCTATGAAAATAAGCGATATTTTAGGGTTAAATACAGGGATTTCTGTGAAAATAAGAGATATTTTAGGGGAAAAACAGGGATTTCTGTGAAAATAAGCGATATGTTAGGGGAAAAACAGGGATTTCTGTGAAAATAAGCGATATTTCAGGGGAAAAACAGGGATTTCTATGAATATATGCGATATTTTAGGGGAAAAACAGGGATTTCTGTGAAAATAAGCGATATTTTATGTTAAAAACAGGGATTTCTATTAAAATTGGCAATATTTTGGGGGAAAAACAGGGATTTCTTTGAAAATAAGCGATATTTAAGGGGAAAAACAGGGATTTCTGTGAAAATAAGCGATATTTAAGGGTTAAAAACAGGGATTTCTATGAAAATAAGCGATATTTAAGGGTTAAAAACAGGGATTTCTATGAAAATAAGCGATATTTAAAGAAAAAAACAGGGATTTCTGTGAAAATAAGCAATATTTTAGGGGAAAAACAGGGATTTCTGTGAAAATAAGCGATATTTTTTGAGAAAAACAGGGATTTCTATGAAAATAAGCGATATTTTGGGGGAAAAACAGGGATTTCTGTGAAAATAAGCGATATTTTAGGGGAAAAACAGGGATTTCTGTGAAAATAAGCGATATTTAAGGGGAAAAACAGGAATTTCTGTGAAAATAAGCGATATTTTAGGGGAAAAACAGGGATTTCTATGAATATATGCGATATTTAAGGGGATAAACAGGGATTTCTGTGAAAATAAGCGATATTTTAGGGGAAAAACAGGGATTTCTATGAAAATAAGCGATATTTCAGGGGAAAAACAGGGATTTCTGTGAAAATAAGCGATATTTTGGGGGAAAAACAGGGATTTCTGTGAAAATAAGCGATATTTCAGGGGAAAAACAGGGATTTCTGTGAAAATAAGCGATATTTAAGGGGAAAAACAGGGATTTCTGTGAAAATAAGCAATATTTTAGGGGAAAAACAGGGATTTCTGTGAAAATAAGCGATATTTCAGGGGAAAAACAGGGATTTCTGTGAAAATAAGCGATATTTTAGGGGAAAAACAGGGATTTCTATGAAAATATGCGATATTTAAAGAAAAAACAGGGATTTCTATGAAAATAAGCGATATTTTATGTTAAAAACAGGGATTTCTATGAAAATTGGCAATATTTTGGGGGAAAAACAGGGATTTCTGTGAAAATAAGCGATATTTTAGGGGAAAAACAGGGATTTCTATGAAAATAAGCGATATTTAAGGGTTAAAAACAGGGATTTCTATGAAAATAAGCAATATTTTAGGAGAAAAAAACAGGGATTTCTGTGAAAATAAGCGATATTTTTTAGAGAAAAACAGGGATTTCTATGAAAATAAGCGTTATTTTGGGGGAAAAACAGGGATTTCTGTGAAAATAAGCGATATTTTGGGGGAAAAACAGGGATTTCTGTGAAAATAAGCGATATTTTAGGGGAAAAACAGGGATTTCTGTGAAAATAAGCGATATTTCAGGGGAAAAACAGGGATTTCTGTGAAAATAAGCGATATTTTAGGGGAAAAACAGGGATTTCTATGAAAATAAGCGATATTGAAGGGGAAAAAGGGATTTCTATGAAAATAAGCGATATTTAAGGGTTAAAAACAGGGATTTCTATGAAAATAAGCGATATTTAAGGGTTAAAAACAGGGATTTCTATGAAAATAAGCGATATTTAAAGAAAAAAACAGGGATTTCTATGAAAATAAGCAATATTTTAGGGGAAAAACAGGGATTTCTGTGAAAATAAGCGATATTTTAGAAAAAGAGGGATTTCTATGAAAATAAGCGATATTTTGGGGGAAAAACAGGGATTTCAGTGAAAATAAGCGATATTTTAGGGGAAAAACAGGGATTTCTGTGAAAATAAGCGATATTTAAGGGGAAAAACAGGAATTTCTGTGAAAATAAGCGATATTTTAGGGGAAAAACAGGGATTTCTATGAATATATGCGATATTTAAGGGGAAAAACAGGGATTTCTATGAAAATAAGCGATATTTAAGGGGAAAAACAGGGATTTCTATGAAAATAAGCGATATTTAGGGAAAAACAGGGATTTCTATGAAAATAAGCGATATTTTAGGGGAAAAACAGGGATTTCTGTGAAAATAAGCGATATTTTAGGGGAAAAACAGGGATTTCTATGAAAATAAGCGATATTTAAGGGGATAAACAGGGATTTCTGTGAAAATAAGCGATATTTAAAGTGGAAAAACAGGCATTTCTATGAAAATAAGCGATATTTAAGGGGATAAACAGGGATTTCTGTGAAAATAAGCGATATTTAAAGTGGAAAAACAGGGATTTCTATGAAAATAAGCGATATTTTAGGGTTAAATACAGGGATTTCTGTGAAAATAAGAGATATTTTAGGGGAAAAACAGGGATTTCTGTGAAAATAAGCGATATTTTAGGGGAAAAACAGGGATTTCTGTGAAAATAAGCGATATTTAAGGGGAAAAACAGGGATTTCTGTGAAAATAAGTGATATTTTAGGGGAAAAACAGGGATTTCTATGAAAATAAGCGACATTTAAGGGGAAAAACAGGGATTTCTATGAAAATAAGCGATATTTTAGGGGAAAAACAGGTATTTCTATGAAAATAAGCGATATTTTAGGGGAAAAACAGGGATTTCTGTGAAAATAAGCGATATTTAAGGCGAAAAACAGGGATTTCTGTGAAAATAAGCAATATTTAAGGTTTAAAAACAGGGATTTCTATGAAAATAGATATTTAAAGTGGAAAAACAGGCATTTCTATGAAAATAAGCGATATTTAAGGGGATAAACAGGGATTTCTGTGAAAATAAGCGATATTTAAAGTGGAAAAACAGGGATTTCTATGAAAATAAGCGATATTTTAGGGTTAAATACAGGGATTTCTGTGAAAATAAGAGATATTTTAGGGGAAAAACAGGGATTTCTGTGAAAATAAGCGATATGTTAGGGGAAAAACAGGGATTTCTGTGAAAATAAGCGATATTTAAGGGGAAAAACAGGGATTTCTATGAATATATGCGATATTTTAGGGGAAAAACAGGGATTTCTGTGAAAATAAGCGATATTTTATGTTAAAAACAGGGATTTCTATTAAAATTGGCAATATTTTGGGGGAAAAACAGGGATTTCTTTGAAAATAAGCGATATTTAAGGGGAAAAACAGGGATTTCTGTGAAAATAAGCGATATTTAAGGGTTAAAAACAGGGATTTCTATGAAAATAAGCGATATTTAAGGGTTAAAAACAGGGATTTCTATGAAAATAAGCGATATTTAAAGAAAAAAACAGGGATTTCTGTGAAAATAAGCAATATTTTAGGGGAAAAACAGGGATTTCTGTGAAAACAAGCGATATTTTTTGAGAAAAACAGGGATTTCTATGAAAATAAGCGATATTTTGGGGGAAAAACAGGGATTTCTGTGAAAATAAGCGATATTTTAGGGGAAAAACAGGGATTTCTGTGAAAATAAGCGATATTTAAGGGGAAAAACAGGAATTTCTGTGAAAATAAGCGATATTTTAGGGGAAAAACAGGGATTTCTATGAATATATGCGATATTTAAGGGGATAAACAGGGATTTCTGTGAAAATAAGCGATATTTTGGGGGAAAAACAGGGATTTCTGTGAAAATAAGCGATATTTCAGGGGAAAAACAGGGATTTCTGTGAAAATAAGCGATATTTAAGGGGAAAAACAGGGATTTCTGTGAAAATAAGCAATATTTTAGGGGAAAAACAGGGATTTCTATGAAAATAAGCGATATTTAAACTGGAAAAACAGGGATTTCTATGAAAATAAGCGATATTTTAGGGGAAAAACAGGGATTTCTATGAAAATATGCGATATTTAAAGAAAAAAACAGGGATTTCTGTGAAAATAAGCGATATTTTATGTTAAAAACAGGGATTTCTATGAAAATTGGCAATATTTTGGGGGAAAAACAGGGATTTCTGTGAAAATAAGCGATATTTTAGGGGAAAAACAGGGATTTCTATGAAAATAAGCGATATTTAAGGGTTAAAAACAGGGATTTCTATGAAAATAAGCAATATTTTAGGAGAAAAAAACAGGGATTTCTGTGAAAATAAGCGATATTTTTTAGAGAAAAACAGGGATTTCTATGAAAATAAGCGTTATTTTGGGGGAAAAACAGGGATTTCTGTGAAAATAAGCGATATTTTGGGGGAAAAACAGGGATTTCTGTGAAAATAAGCGATATTTTAGGGGAAAAACAGGGATTTCTGTGAAAATAAGCGATATTTCAGGGGAAAAACAGGGATTTCTGTGAAAATAAGCGATATTTTAGGGGAAAAACAGGGATTTCTATGAAAATAAGCAATATTTAAGGGGAAAAAGGGATTTCTATGAAAATAAGCGATATTTAAGGGTTAAAAACAGGGATTTCTATGAAAATAAGCGATATTTAAGGGTTAAAAACAGGGATTTCTATGAAAATAAGCGATATTTAAAGAAAAAAACAGGGATTTCTATGAAAATAAGCGATATTTTAGGGGAAAAACAGGGATTTCTGTGAAAATAAGCGATATTTTTTGAGAAAAAGAGGGATTTCTATGAAAATAAGCGATATTTTGGGGGAAAAACAGGGATTTCAGTGAAAATAAGCGATATTTTAGGGGAAAAACAGGGATTTCTGTGAAAATAAGCGATATTTAAGGGGAAAAACAGGAATTTCTGTGAAAATAAGCGATATTTTAGGGGAAAAACAGGGATTTCTATGAATATATGCGATATTTAATGGGATAAACAGGGATTTCTGTGAAAATAAGCGATATTTTAGGGGAAAAACAGGGATTTCTATGAAAATAAGCGATATTTAAGGGTTAAAAACAGGGATTTCTATGAAAATAAGCGATATTTAAGGGTTAAAAACAGGGATTTCTATGAAAATAAGCGATATTTAATGGTTAAAAACAGGGATTTCTATGAAAATAAGCAATATTTTAGGGGAAAAACAGGGATTTCTGTGAAAATAAGAGATATTTAAGGTGAAAAACAGGGATTTCTATGAAAATAAGCGATATTTTGGGGGAAAAACAGGGATTTCTGTGAAAATAAGCGATATTTTAGGGGAAAAACAGGGATTTCTGTGAAAATAAGCGATATTTAAGGGGAAAAACAGGAATTTCTGTGAAAATAAGCGATATTTTAGGGGAAAAACAGGGATTTCTATGAATATATGCGATATTTAAGGGGAAAAACAGGGATTTCTATGAAAATAAGCGATATTTAAGGGGAAAAACAGGGATTTCTGTGAAAATAAGCGATATTTTAGGGGAAAAACAGGGATTTCTGTGAAAATAAGCGATATTTTAGGGGAAAAACAGGGATTTCTGTGAAAATAAGCGATATTTTAGGGGAAAAACAGGGATTTCTATGAATATATGCGATATTTTAGGGGAAAAACAGGGATTTCTGTGAAAATAAGCGATATTTTAGGGGAAAAACAGGGATTTCTATGAAAATATGCGATATTTTAGGGGAAAAACAGGGATTTCTGTGAAAATAAGCGATATTTAAGGGTTAAAAACAGGGATTTCTATGAAAATTGGCAATATTTTGGGGGAAAAACAGGGATTTCTGTGAAAATAAGCGATATTTTGGGGGAAAAACAGGGATTTCTATGAAAATAAGCGATATTTAAGGGTTAAAAACAGGGATTTCTATGAAAATAAGCAATATTTTAGGAGAAAAAAACAGGGATTTCTGTGAAAATAAGCAATATTTTAGGGGAAAAACAGGGATTTCTGTGAAAATAAGCGATATTTTTTAGAGAAAAACAGGGATTTCTATGAAAATAAGCGTTATTTTGGGGGAAAAACAGGGATTTCTGTGAAAATAAGCGATATTTTGGGGGAAAAACAGGGATTTCTGTTTTAAATATCGCTTATTTTCAAAGAATAAATGAAAATAAGCGATATTTTAGGGGAAAAACAGGGATTTCTGTGAAAATAAGCGATATTTTAGGGGAAAAACAGGGATTTCTGTTAAAATAATCGATATTTTGGGGGAAAAACAGGATTTCTGTGAAAATAAGCGATATTTAAGGTTAAAAATAGGGATTTCTGTGAAAATAAGCGATATTTTAGGGGAGAAACAGGGATTTCTGTTAAAATAAGTGATATTTTGGGGGAAAAACAGGGATTTCTGTGAAAATAAGCGATATTTTAGGGGAAAAACAGGGATTTCTGTGAAAATAAGCGATATTTTAGGGGAAAAACAGGGATTTCTGTGAAAAGAAGCGATATTTTAGGGGAAAAACAGGGATTTCTATGAAAATAAGCGATATTTCAGGTTAAAAACAATAATTTCTATGAAAATGAGAGATATTTAAAGTGGAAAAACAGGGATTTCTAAGAAAATAAGCGATATTTATGGTTTAAATACAGGGATTTCTAGTGAAAATAAGTGATATTTTAGGGGAAAAACAGGGATTTCTATGAAAATAAGCGATAGTTAAGGGGAAAAAACAGGGATTTCTATGAAAATAAGCGATATTTAAAGAGGAACAACAGGGATTTCTGTGAAAATATGCGATATTTTAGGGGAAAAACAGGGATTTCTGTGAAAATAAGCGATATTTTAGGGGAAAAACAGGGATTTCTGTGAAAATAAGAGACATTTTAGGGGAAAAACAGGGATTTCTATGAAAATAAGCGATATTTATGGTTTAAAAACAGGGATTTCTATGAAAATAAGCGATATTTAAGGGTTAAAATCAGGGATTTCTATGAAAATAAGCGATATTTAAGGGGAAAAACAGGGATTTCTGTGAAAATAAGCGATATTTAAAGGGAAAAACAGGGATTTCTGTGAAAATAAGCGATATTTTAGGGGAGAAACAGGGATTTCTGTTAAAATAAGTGATATTTTAGGGGAAAAACAGGGATTTCTGTGAAAATAAGCGATATTTAATGGGGAAAAACAGGGATTTGTGTGAAAATAAGCGATATTTTAGGGGAAAAACAGGGATTTCTATGAAAATAAGCAATATTTTGGGGGAAAAACAGGGATTTCTGTGAAAATAAGCGATATTTAAGGGTTAAAAACAGGGATTTCTAGGAAAATAAGCGATATTTTAGGGGAAAGACAGGGATTTCTATGAAAATAAGCGATATTTAAGGGGAAAAACAGGGATTTCTATGAAAATAAGCGATATTTTAGGGGAAAAACAGGGATTTCTATGAAAATAAGCGATATTTTAGGGGAAAAACAGGGATTTCTGTGAAAATAAGCGATATTTCAGGGGAAAAACAGGGATTTCTATGAAAATAAGCGATATTTAAAGTGGAAAAACAGGGATTTCTATGAAAATAAGCGATATTTTGGGGTTAAAAACCAGGGATTTCTATGAAAATAAGCGATATTTAAGGTTAAAAACAGGGATTTCTGTGAAAATAAGCGATATTTAATGGGAAAAACAGGGATTTCTGTGAAAATAAGCAATATTTAAGGGGAAAAACAGGGATTTCTATGAAAATAAGCGATATTTAAAGTGGAAAAACAGGGATTTCTGTGAAAATAAGCAATATTTAATGGGAAAAACAGGGATTTCTATGAAAATAAGCGATATTTAATGGGAAAAACAGGGATTTCTATGAAAATAAGCGATATTTAAACTGGAAAAACAGGGATTTCTGTGAAAATAAGCGATATTTTAGGGGAAAAACAGGGATTTCTATGAAAATAAGCGATATTTTAGGGGAGAAACAGGGATTTCTGTGAAAATAAGCGATATTTTAGGGGAAAAACAGGGATTTCTGTGAAAATAAGCGATATTTTAGTGGAAAAACAGGGATTTCTATGAAAATAAGCGATATTTTAGGGGAAAAACAGGGATTTCTATGAAAATAAGCGATATTTAAGGGAAAAACAGGGATTTCTGTGAAAATAAGAGATATTTTAGGGGTAGAAACAGGGATTTCTATGAAAATAAGCGATATTTTAGGGGAAAAACAGGGATTTCTATGAAAATAAGCGATATTTAAAGGGAAAAACAGGGATTTCTATGAAAATAAGCGATATTTAAGGGGAAAAACAGGGATTTCTGTGAAAATAAGCGATATTTAAGGGTTAAAAACAGGGATTTCTATGAAAATAAGCGATATTTTAGGGGAAAAACAGGGATTTCTATGAAAATAAGCGATATTTAAGGGTTAAAAACAGGGATTTCTGTGAAAATAAGCAATATTTTAGGGGAAAAACAGGGATTTCTATGAAAATAAGCGATATTTTAGGGGATAAACAGGGATTTCTGTGAAAATAAGCGATATTTTAGGGGATAAACAGGGATTTCTATGAAAATAAGCAATATTTTAGGGGAAAAACAGGGATTTCTGTGTAAATAAGCGATATTTTAAAGGGAACAACAGGGATTTCTGTGAAAATATGCGATATTTTAGGGGAAAAACAGGGATTTCTGTGAAAATAAGCGATATTTAAGGGGAAAAACAGGGATTTCTGTGAAAATAAGCGATATTTTAGGGGAAAAACAGGGATTTCTATGAAAATAAGCGACATTTAAGGGGAAAAACAGGGATTTCTATGAAAATAAGCGATATTTTGGGGGAAAAACAGGGATTTCTATGAAAATAAGCGATATTTTAGGGGAAAAACAGGGATTTCTGTGAAAATAAGCGATATTTAAGGCGAAAAACAGGGATTTCTGTGAAAATAAGCAATATTTTAGGGGAAAAACAGGGATTTCTATGAAAATAAGCGATATTTAAAGTGGAAAAACAGGCATTTCTATGAAAATAAGCGATATTTAAGGGGATAAACAGGGATTTCTGTGAAAATAAGCGATATTTAGGGAAAAACAGGGATTTCTATGAAAATAAGCGATATTTTAGGGTTAAAAACAGGGATTTCTGTGAAAATAAGCGATATTTTAGGGGAAAAACAGGGATTTCTGTGAAAATAAGCGATATGTTAGGGGAAAAACAGGGATTTCTGTGAAAATAAGCGATATTTAAGGGGAAAAACAGGGATTTCTGTGAAAATAAGCGATATTTTAGGGGAAAAACAGGGATTTCTATGAAAATAAGCGACATTTAAGGGGAAAAACAGGGATTTCTATGAAAATAAGCGATATTTTAGGGGAAAAACAGGGATTTCTATGAAAATAAGCGATATTTAAGGGGAAAAACAGGGATTTCTGTGAAAATAAGCGATATTTAAGGCGAAAAACAGGGATTTCTGTGAAAATAAGCAATATTTAAGGTTTAAAAACAGGGATTTCTATGAAAATAAGCGATATTTAAAGTGGAAAAACAGGGATTTCTATGAAAATAAGCGATATTTAAGGGGATAAACAGGGATTTCTGTGAAAATAAGCGATATTTAAAGTGGAAAAACAGGGATTTCTATGAAAATAAGCGATATTTTAGGGTTAAAACAGGGATTTCTGTGAAAATAAGAGATATTTTAGGGGAAAAACAGGGATTTCTGTGAAAATAAGCGATATGTTAGGGGAAAAACAGGGATTTCTGTGAAAATAAGCGATATTTCAGGGGAAAAACAGGGATTTCTATGAAAATAAGCGATATTTTAGGGGAAAAACAGGGATTTCTGTGAAAATAAGCGATATTTTATGTTAAAAACAGGGATTTCTATTGAAAATTGGCAATATTTTGGGGGAAAAACAGGGATTTCTATGAAAATAAGCGATATTTAAGGGGAAAAACAGGGATTTCTATGAAAATAAGCGATATTTAAGGGTTAAAAACAGGGATTTCTATGAAAATAAGCGATATTTAAGGGTTAAAAACAGGGATTTCTATGAAAATAAGCGATATTTAAAGAAAAAAACAGGGATTTCTGTGAAAATAAGCAATATTTTAGGGGAAAAACAGGGATTTCTGTGAAAACAAGCGATATTTTTTGAGAAAAACAGGGATTTCTATGAAAATAAGCGATATTTTGGGGGAAAAACAGGGATTTCTGTGAAAATAAGCGATATTTTAGGGGAAAAACAGGGATTTCTGTGAAAATAAGCGATATTTAAGGGGAAAAACAGGGATTTCTGTGAAAATAAGCGATATTTTAGGGGAAAAACAGGGATTTCTATGAATATATGCGATATTTAAGGGGATAAACAGGGATTTCTGTGAAAATAAGCGATATTTTAGGGGAAAAACAGGGATTTCTATGAAAATAAGCGATATTTCAGGGGAAAAACAGGGATTTCTGTGAAAATAAGCGATATTTTAGGGGAAAAACAGGGATTTCTGTGAAAATAAGCGATATTTCAGGGGAAAAACAGGGATTTCTGTGAAAATAAGCGATATTTAAGGGGAAAAACAGGGATTTCTGTGAAAATAAGCAATATTTTAGGGGAAAAACAGGGATTTCTATGAATATAAGCGATATTTAAACTGGAAAAACAGGGATTTCTATGAAAATAAGCGATATTTTAGGGGAAAAACAGGGATTTCTATGAAAATATGCGATATTTAAAGAAAAAAACAGGGATTTCTGTGAAAATAAGCGATATTTTATGTTAAAAACAGGGATTTCTATGAAAATTGGCAATATTTTGGGGGAAAAACAGGGATTTCTGTGAAAATAAGCGATATTTTAGGGGAAAAACAGGGATTTCTATGAAAATAAGCGATATTTAAGGGTTAAAAACAGGGATTTCTATGAAAATAAGCAATATTTTAGGAGAAAAAAACAGGGATTTCTGTGAAAATAAGCGATATTTTTTAGAGAAAAACAGGGATTTCTATGAAAATAAGCGTTATTTTGGGGGAAAAACAGGGATTTCTGTGAAAATAAGCGATATTTTAGGGGAAAAACAGGGATTTCTGTGAAAATAAGCGATATTTTGGGGGAAAAACAGGGATTTCTATGAAAATAAGCGATATTTAAGGGGAAAAACAGGGATTTCTGTGAAAATAAGCGATATTTTAGGGGAGAAACAGGGATTTCTATGAAAATAAGCGATATTTTAGGGGAAAAACAGGGATTTCTGTGAAAATAAGCGATATTTTAGGGGAAAAACAGGGATTTCTGTGAAAATAAGCGATATTTTAGGGGAAAAACAGGGATTTCTGTGAAAATAAGCGATATTTTAGGGGAAAAACAGGGATTTCTATGAAAATAAGCGATATTTCAGGTTAAAAACAATGATTTCTATGAAAATGAGAGATATTTAAAGTGGAAAAACAGGGATTTCTATGAAAATAAGCGATATTTTAGGGGAAAAACAGGGATTTCTATGAAAATAAGCGATATTTAAGGGTTAAAATCAGGGATTTCTATGAAAATAAGCGATATTTAAGGGTTAAAAACAGGGATTTCTATGAAAATAAGCGATATTTAAGGGGAAAAACAGGGATTTCAGTGAAAATAAGCGATATTTAAGGGTTAAAAACAGGGATTTCTATGAAAATAAGCGATATTTAAAGGGAAAAACAGGGATTTCTATGAAAATAAGCGATATTTTAGGGGTAGAAACAGGGATTTCTATGAAAATAAGCGATATTTTAGGGGAAAAACAGGGATTTCTATGAAAATAAGCGATATTTAAGAAGAAAAACAGGGATTTCTATGAAAATAAGCGATATTTTAGGGGAAAAACAGGGATTTCTGTGAAAATAAGCGATATTTAAGGGTTAAAAACAGGGATTTCTATAAAAATAAGCGATATTTAAGGGGAAAAACAGGGATTTCTATGAAAATAAGCGGTATTTAAGGGTTAAAAACAGGGATTTCTATGAAAATAAGCGATATTTTAGGGGAACAACAGGGATTTCTGTGAAAATAAGCGATATGTAAGGTTTAAAAACAGGGATTTCTAGGTAAATAAGTGACATTTTAGGGTTAAAAACAGGGATTTCTATGAAAATAAGAGATATTTAAAGTGGAAAAACAGGCATTTCTATGAAAATAAGCGATATTTAAGGTTTAAAAACAGGGATTTCTGTGAAAATAAGCAATATTTTAGGGGAAAAACAGGGATTTCTGTGAAAATAAGCGATATTTTAGGGGAAAAACAGGGATTTCTATGAAAATAAGCGATATTTTAGGGGAAAAACAGGGATTTCTGTGAAAATAAGCGATATTTAATGGGGAAAAACAGGGATTTCTGTGAAAATAAGCGATATTTTAGGTTAAAAACAGGGATTTCTATGAAAATAAGCGATATTTTAGTGGAAAAACAGGGATTTCTATGAAAATAAGCGATATTTAAGGGTTAAACAGGGATTTCTATGAAAATAAGTGATATTTTAGGAGATAAACAGGGATTTCTATTAAAATATGCAATATTTTAGGGGAAAAACAGGGATTTCTGCGAAAATAAGCAATATTTAAGGTTTAAAAACAGGGATTTCTAGGAAAATAATCAATATTTTAGGGGAAAAACAGGGATTTCTATGAAAATAAGCAATATTTAAGGTTTAAAAACAGGGATTTCTAGGAAAACAATCAATATTTTAGGGGAAAAACAGGGATTTCTGTGAAAATAAGCAATAATTTAGGGGAAAAACAGGGATTTCTATGAAAATAAGCGATATTTAAAGAGGAAAAACAGGGATTTCTATGAAAATAAGCGATATTTAATGGGGAAAACAGAGATTTCTATGAAAATAAGCGATATTTAAGGGGAAAAACAGGGATTTCTGTGAAAATAAGCGATATTTAAGGGGAAAAACACGGATTTCTATGAAAATAAGCGATATTTTAGGGGAGAAACAGGGATTTCTGTGAAAATGAGCGATATTTTAGGGGAAAAACAGGGATTTCTGTGAAAATAAGCGATATTTTAGGGGAAAAACAGGGATTTCTATGAAAATAAGCGATATTTAAGGGTTAAAAACAGGGATTTCTATGAAAATAAGCGATATTTAAGGGGAAAAACAGGGATTTCTGTGAAAATAAGTGATATTTAAGGGTTAAAAACAGGGATTTCTATGAAAATAAGCGATATTTAAAGGGAAAAACAGGGATTTCTGTGAAAATAAGAGATATTTTAGGGGTAGAAACAGGGATTTCTATGAAAATAAGCGATATTTAAGGGGAAAAACAGGGATTTCTATGAAAATAAGTGATATTTTAGGAGATAAACAGGGATTTCTATTAAAATATGCAATATTTTAGGGGAAAAACAGGGATTTCTGTGAAAATAAGCGATATTTAAGGGTTAAAAACAGGGATTTCTATGAAAATAAGAGATATTTTAGGGGAAAAACAGGGATTTCTATGAAAATAAGCGGTATTTAAGGGTTAAAAACAGGGATTTCTATGAAAATAAGCGATATTTAAGGGGATAAACAGGGATTTCTGTGAAAATAAGCAATATTTCAGGGGAAAAACAGGGATTTCTGTGAAAATAAGCGATATTTTAGGGGAACAACAGGGATTTCTATGAAAATAAGCGATATTTTAGGGGAACAACAGGGATTTGTGTGAAAATAAGCGATATTTAAGGGTTAGAACCAGGGATTTCTATGAAAATAATCGATATTTTAGGGGAAAAACAGGGATTTCTGTGAAAATAAGCGATATTTTAGGGGAAAAACAGGGATTTCTGTGAAAATAAGCGATATTTTAGGGGAAAAACAGGGATTTCTGTGAAAATAAGCGATATTTAAGGGTTAGAACCAGGGATTTCTATGAAAATAAGCGATATTTTAGGGGAAAAACAGGGATTTCTGTGAAAATAAGCGATATTTTATGTTAAAAACAGGGATTTCTATGAAAATTGGCAATATTTTGGGGGAAAAACAGGGATTTCTATGAAAATAAGCGATATTTAAGGGGAAAAACAGGGATTTCTATGAAAATAAGCGATATTTAAGGGTTAAAAACAGGGATTTCAATGAAAATAAGCGATATTTAAGGGTTAAAAACAGGGATTTCTATGAAAATAAGCGATATTTAAAGAAAAAAACAGGGATTTCTGTGAAAATAAGCAATATTTTAGGGGAAAAACAGGGATTTCTGTGAAAACAAGCGATATTTTTTGAGAAAAACAGGGATTTCTATGAAAATAAGCGATATTTTGGGGGAAAAACAGGGATTTCTGTGAAAATAAGCGATATTTTAGGGGAAAAACAGGGATTTCTGTGAAAATAAGCGATATTTAAGGGGAAAAACAGGAATTTCTGTGAAAATAAGCGATATTTTAGGGGAAAAACAGGGATTTCTATGAATATATGCGATATTTAAGGGGATAAACAGGGATTTCTGTGAAAATAAGCGATATTTTAGGGGAAAAACAGGGATTTCTATGAAAATAAGCGATATTTCAGGGGAAAAACAGGGATTTCTGTGAAAATAAGCGATATTTTGGGGGAAAAACTGGGATTTCTGTGAAAATAAGCGATATTTCAGGGGAAAAACAGGGATTTCTGTGAAAATAAGCGATATTTAAGGGGAAAAACAGGGATTTCTGTGAAAATAAGCAATATTTTAGGGGAAAAACAGGGATTTCTATGAAAATAAGCGATATTTAAACTGGAAAAACAGGGATTTCTATGAAAATAAGCGATATTTTAGGGGAAAAACAGGGATTTCTATGAAAATAAGCGATATTTAAAGAAAAAAACAGGGATTTCTGTGAAAATAAGCGATATTTTATGTTAAAAACAGGGATTTCTATGAAAATAAGCGATATTTTGGGGAAAAACAGGGATTTCTGTGAAAATAAGCGATATTTTAGGGGAAAAACAGGGATTTCTATGAAAATAAGCGATATTTAAGGGTTAAAAACAGGGATTTCTATGAAAATAAGCAATATTTTAGGAGAAAAAAACAGGGATTTCTGTGAAAATAAGCGATATTTTTTAGAGAAAAACAGGGATTTCTATGAAAATAAGCGTTATTTTGGGGGAAAAACAGGGATTTCTGTGAAAATAAGCGATATTTTAGGGGAAAAACAGGGATTTCTGTGAAAATAAGCGATATTTTGGGGGAAAAACAGGGATTTCTATGAAAATAAGCGATATTTAAGGGGAAAAATAGGGATTTCTGTGAAAATAAGCGATATTTTAGGGGAGAAACAGGGATTTCTGTTAAAATAAGCGATATTTTAGGGGAAAAACAGGGATTTCTGTGAAAATAAGCGATATTTTAGGGGAAAAACAGGGATTTCTGTGAAAATAAGCGATATTTTAGGGGAAAAACAGGGATTTCTGTGAAAATAAGCGATATTTTAGGGGAAAGACAGGGATTTCTATGAAAATAAGCGATATTTCAGGTTAAAAACAATGATTTCTATGAAAATAAGCGATATTTAAAGTGGAAAAACAGGGATTTCTATGAAAATAAGCGATATTTTAGGGGAAAAACAGGGATTTCTATGAAAATAAGCGATATTTAAGGGTTAAAATCAGGGATTTCTATGAAAATAAGCGATATTTAAGGGTTAAAAACAGGGATTTCTGTGAAAATAAGCGATATTTAAGGGGAAAAACAGGGATTTCTATGAAAATAAGCGATATTTAAGGGTTAAAAACAGGGATTTCTATGAAAATAAGCGATATTTAAAGGGAAAAACAGGGATTTCTGTGGAAATAAGCGATATTTTAGGGGTAGAAACAGGGATTTCTATGAAAATAAGCGATATTTTAGGGGAAAAACAGGGATTTCTATGAAAATAAGCGATATTTAAGAAGAAAAACAGGGATTTCTACGAAAATAAGCGATATTTTAGGGGAAAAACAGGGATTTCTGTGAAAATAAGCGATATTTAAGGGTTAAAAACAGGGATTTCTATAAAAATAAGCGATATTTAAGGGGAAAAACAGGGATTTCTATGAAAATAAGCGGTATTTAAGGGTTAAAAACAGGGATTTCTATGAAAATAAGCGATATTTTAGGGGAACAACAGGGATTTCTGTGAAAATAAGCGATATGTAAGGTTTAAAAACAGGGATTTCTAGGTAAATAAGTGACATTTTAGGGTTAAAAACAGGGATTTCTATGAAAATAAGAGATATTTAAAGTGGAAAAACAGGCATTTCTATGAAAATAAGCGATATTTAAGGTTTAAAAACAGGGATTTCTGTGAAAATAAGCAATATTTTAGGGGAAAAACAGGGATTTCTGTGAAAATAAGCGATATTTTAGGGGAAAAACAGGGATTTCTGTTAAAATAAGTGATATTTTAGGGGAAAAACAGGGATTTCTGTGAAAATAAGCGATATTTAATGGGGAAAAACAGGGATTTCTGTGAAAATAAGCGATATTTTAGGTTAAAAACAGGGATTTCTATGAAAATAAGCGATATTTTAGTGGAAAAACAGGGATTTCTATGAAAATAAGCGATATTTAAGGGTTAAACAGGGATTTCTATGAAAATAAGTGATATTTTAGGAGATAAACAGGGATTTCTATTAAAATATGCAATATTTTAGGGGAAAAACAGGGATTTCTGCGAAAATAAGCAATATTTAAGGTTTAAAAACAGGGATTTCTAGGAAAATAATCAATATTTTAGGGGAAAAACAGGGATTTCTATGAAAATAAGCAATATTTAAGGTTTAAAAACAGGGATTTCTAGGAAAATAATCAATATTTTAGGGGAAAAACAGGGATTTCTGTGAAAATAAGCAATAATTTAGGGGAAAAACAGGGATTTCTATGAAAATAAGCGATATTTAAAGAGGAAAAACAGGGATTTCTATGAAAATAAGCGATATTTAATGGGGAAAACAGAGATTTCTATGAAAATAAGCGATATTTAAGGGGAAAAACAGGGATTTCTGTGAAAATAAGCGATATTTAAGGGGAAAAACACGGATTTCTATGAAAATAAGCGATATTTTAGGGGAGAAACAGGGATTTCTGTGAAAATGAGCGATATTTTAGGGGAAAAACAGGGATTTCTGTGAAAATAAGCGATATTTTAGGGGAAAAACAGGGATTTCTATGAAAATAAGCGATATTTAAGGGTTAAAAACAGGGATTTCTATGAAAATAAGCGATATTTAAGGGGAAAAACAGGGATTTCTGTGAAAATAAGTGATATTTAAGGGTTAAAAACAGGGATTTCTATGAAAATAAGCGATATTTAAAGGGAAAAACAGGGATTTCTGTGAAAATAAGAGATATTTTAGGGGTAGAAACAGGGATTTCTATGAAAATAAGCGATATTTAAGGGGAAAAACAGGGATTTCTATGAAAATAAGTGATATTTTAGGAGATAAACAGGGATTTCTATTAAAATATGCAATATTTTAGGGGAAAAACAGGGATTTCTGTGAAAATAAGCGATATTTAAGGGTTAAAAACAGGGATTTCTATGAAAATAAGAGATATTTTAGGGGAAAAACAGGGATTTCTATGAAAATAAGCGGTATTTAAGGGTTAAAAACAGGGATTTCTATGAAAATAAGCGATATTTAAGGGGATAAACAGGGATTTCTGTGAAAATAAGCAATATTTCAGGGGAAAAACAGGGATTTCTGTGAAAATAAGCGATATTTTAGGGGAACAACAGGGATTTCTATGAAAATAAGCGATATTTTAGGGGAACAACAGGGATTTGTGTGAAAATAAGCGATATTTAAGGGTTAGAACCAGGGATTTCTATGAAAATAATCGATATTTTAGGGGAAAAACAGGGATTTCTGTGAAAATAAGCGATATTTTAGGGGAAAAACAGGGATTTCTGTGAAAATAAGCGATATTTTAGGGGAAAAACAGGGATTTCTGTGAAAATAAGCGATATTTAAGGGTTAGAACCAGGGATTTCTATGAAAATAAGCGATATTTTAGGGGAAAAACAGGGATTTCTGTGAAAATAAGTGATATTTTAGGGGAAAAACAGGGATTTCTATGAAAATAAGCGACATTTAAGGGGAAAAACAGGGATTTCTATGAAAATAAGCGATATTTTGGGGGAAAAACAGGGATTTCTATGAAAATAAGCGATATTTTAGGGGAAAAACAGGGATTTCTGTGAAAATAAGCGATATTTAAGGGAAAAACAGGGATTTCTGTGAAAATAAGCGATATTTAAGGGGAAAAACAGGGATTTCTATGAAAATAAGCGATATTTAAGGGGAAAAACAGGGATTTCTATGAAAATAAGCGATATTTAAAGTCGAAAAACAGGGATTTCTATGAAAATAAGCGATATTTAAAGTGGAAAAACAGGGATTTCTATGAAAATAAGCGATATTTAAGGGTTAAAAACAGGGATTTCTGTGAAAATAAGCGATATTTTAGGGGAAAAACAGGGATTTCTGTGAAAATAAGCGATATTTTAGGGGAAAAACAGGGATTTCTATGAATATATGCGATATTTTAGGTGAAAAACAGGGATTTCTGTGAAAATAAGCGATATTTAAGGGGAAAAACAGGGATTTCTATGAAAATAAGCGATATTTTGGGGGAAAAACAGGAATTTCTGTGAAAATAAGCGATATTTTAGGGGAAAAACAGGGATTTCTATGAAAATAAGCGATATTTAAGGGTTAAAAACAGGGATTTCTATGAAAATAAACAATATTTTAGGGGAAAAACAGGGATTTCTGTGAAAATAAGCGATATTTTTTGAGAAAAACAGGGATTTCTATGAAAATAAGCAATATTTTGGGGGAAAAACAGGGATTTCTGTGAAAATAAGCGATATTTTAGGGGAAAAACAGGGATTTCTGAGAAAATAAGCGATATTTTGGGGGAAAAACAGGGATTTCTGTGAAAATAAGCGATATTTTATGTTAAAAACAGGGATTTCTATGAAAATTGGCAATATTTTGGGGGAAAAACAGGGATTTCTATGAAAATAAGCGATATTTTAGGGGAACAACAGGGATTTCTATGAAAATAAGCGATATGTAAGGTTTAAAAACAGGGATTTCTATGAAAATAAGTGACATTTTAGGGTTAAAAACAGGGATTTCTATGAAAATAAGAGATATTTAAAGTGGAAAAACAGGCATTTCTATGAAAATAAGCGATATTTAAGGTTTAAAAACAGGGATTTCTGTGAAAATAAGCAATATTTTAGGGGAAAAACAGGGATTTCTGTGAAAATAAGCGATATTTTAGGGGAAAAACAGGGATTTCTGTTAAAATAAGTGATATTTTAGGGGAAAAACAGGGATTTCTGTGAAAATAAGCGATATTTAATGGGGAAAAACAGGGATTTCTGTGAAAATAAGCGATATTTTAGGTTAAAAACAGGGATTTCTATGAAAATAAGCGATATTTTAGTGGAAAAACAGGGATTTCTATGAAAATAAGCGATATTTAAGGGTTAAACAGGGATTTCTATGAAAATAAGTGATATTTTAGGAGATAAACAGGGATTTCTATTAAAATATGCAATATTTTAGGGGAAAAACAGGGATTTCTGCGAAAATAAGCGATATTTAAGGTTAAAAACAGGGATTTCTAGGAAAATAATCAATATTTTAGGGGAAAAACAGGGATTTCTATGAAAATAAGCAATATTTAAGGTTTAAAAACAGGGATTTCTAGGAAAATAATCAATATTTTAGGGGAAAAACAGGGATTTCTGTGAAAATAAGCAATAATTTAGGGGAAAAACAGGGATTTCTATGAAAATAAGCGATATTTAAAGAGGAAAAACAGGGATTTCTATGAAAATAAGCGATATTTAATGGGGAAAACAGAGATTTCTATGAAAATAAGCGATATTTAAGGGGAAAAACAGGGATTTCTGTGAAAATAAGCGATATTTAAGGGGAAAAACACGGATTTCTATGAAAATAAGCGATATTTTAGGGGAGAAACAGGGATTTCTGTGAAAATGAGCGATATTTTAGGGGAAAAACAGGGATTTCTGTGAAAATAAGCGATATTTTAGGGGAAAAACAGGGATTTCTATGAAAATAAGCGATATTTAAGGGTTAAAAACAGGGATTTCTATGAAAATAAGCGATATTTAAGGGGAAAAACAGGGATTTCTGTGAAAATAAGTGATATTTAAGGGTTAAAAACAGGGATTTCTATGAAAATAAG